TTTGCAGCACCTGCCCACAGGATCTTACTATATAATAACGAAAACTCTGTCTGTGTGTCTGTTCCACGTTTTTCTCCTCACTGACTTGGTCAATCCATGTGAAATTTGGCACAGTGGTAGAGGGTCATGGGAGGATTCTAATGAAGCAATATTACATCAGTTGGCCAAAGGGGGCGCTATAGCAACTGATTGAAATTGCAAACTTTGAATGGGCATATCTCATGCCCCGTATGTCATAGAGACATTAAACTTTGCACAGAGATGCCTCTCCTCATGAGGAACAAATTTACCTCAAGAACCCATAACTTCCGCTTATATAGATTTTCCGCCATTTTTAATTATTTGAAAAACACTTCAAATGGATCTCTTCCTAGGAAGTTTGAGCGATCTGCATGAAACTGGGTGAACATAATCTAGGGACCAATATCTAAAGTTCCCTCTTGGCAAAAGTTGGAAAACTTACTAAAACTGAGCTTCTATAAGGCAATGAATATTGCGGAGGGCGTGGCTCATCACATAAAGGTGTATAACATCTCAAGGGTTTCACCCACCACCACGCAACTTTGTAGGCATATGACCACACATAATCTGAGGGGACCCCTCCATTATTGACCCCATCAAACAAAATGGGGGCACAAGAGAGCTCATTTCTTATCTAGGCCTAACCGCCATATCGATTTTTACTAAACTTGGTAGATATGTAGAACAGGACGCCTCTTTTTTTGCCTATATTTGATAGGACACTGAAGCATGACAGGAAGGATGGGAGAGAGAGAGCAAGGAAAACATGCAGCAAAGAACGAAGGCCGGATTCCAACCCCCACTGCTGCAACAAGGGCTAGCCGCACCTTTCCCATGTGAGCTACCAGTGCGCCCCTCTTTTAAGTCAATACAACATATAAACACTTTAACTATCTGCTTTTCAACGTGCTACCTCAACTACTAATGTACAGTTTCAGCCCACTAACTATCCCACTATTGGCGATGCTACTACTGTACTTTCAATAAAGCAATCGTACAATCAAATTCACATAAACTCTGTCTGAATACATTGCTCTTCTTAATGGGTTCAGTTGACTATTTAATCTGCAATTTCCTATGACCTGTATCCCAAACACACACCATGTGAAAATGTACGTGGGCCACTGTGCACTCAAAGGGTATGGACTAGTACTTAGTTAAAAATTTGAAATAGTAGTATATACTCTGAAATAAAAACACGTGACATGTCTCACCAACTATTGGATAGATTGCCATGTAATAAAGTAGAGATTCACGTCCTCCTCAGTATAAATTGGAATGACTTTGGTGATCCTCTTACCCTTCATCTTGTGCCAACATCAGATCAAATCTCCAATTTACCCAATAATTTGGTTTATGACCAAGTACCTTCAAAACTAATAACAGCTCATCCGCCTTAGTTGTACGTTGTGTTTAGTGCCAATGAGAAAATATTTGCATAATAAAATACAAAACTAAGATGTGAACATGATCATTACAACATTAGCATGTAAGCACTGTCTTTGTGAGCATGTTCGCAATTTGACATTGGATTTAGATCTAAGCACCACTGTGCCTTCGTACAGCCCCAAGGAGCTGCTAATGTGGCTTTAGTTTTACAATACCACTACTGTTTTATTTGACAAAAAAAAAAAACACACAAATTCCGCAATGGCAGACCTTCCAGTAGCGGGACCCCATACAGACTCGCTTTGATTACCTGTTCACACACACACACTGTGAGGTACAAGCTCAGTATCGACCTAAATGATGGCGGCAACAAATATGTGCAGCCAAGTTTTTCCAAACATTTGTTCTTATTCTTCTTTCAGCGAAACGGAAAGAGAGAACAGTTCAGCTTTGAATGTCTGAATTTACCTTCTCCACCGTTTTCATGTTACATTTTAGTTTTTCAAAGAAGGAAATTGCTTTGGAAACACTGTGGAAAATTGGATTTGCACAGTACAACTGCAGACTGAGCAAGCGAGCAGCTCCACTGAATTAACATTGACCAGCATTGACTGAACTGACCTCAACAGTTCCTAAAACAACTAGAAAAATACAATAGCATAAAAGTAAAGTGCTGGGCTGTGTAGCAAACCTCAGTGCTTTCTTATTGTAGACTTAAGTGTGTGCTTGGTCAGATTCTTAGTCTTAATTAATGTTTTAATATAATATTTCTTGGATTCAGGCTATATTTTATTTACATATGTCTTTATATAACACTGACACACTGTAAAGATTAAAGTAAAGCAGTAATAAAAATAATTTTCGTACTCACTAAACTCCATTTGGCCTTTAATATTTGGTTAGATTTGTACTCTTCTTCAGTTTTGATGAGTTGATTAACATTTCCTGATGCCAATCATAATTTTTGCTTATTTTAGACAGTTGCCAAAGTTGTTGTAGGCCTGCTTGTGTTTTGACACAATTGCCAAGAACAGGTTTTAGTTTCTTCAGCTGGACAAAATCCCTTAGTCACTGTTCTTTGGCAAGTGTTAGTCTACTGATGAAAGGGAAAAAAAGAACCCAATGCACCATGAATATTCTAACTCTCAATTTCAATTTAATTAGAAATGCTCAAGTTGATATTCTCCATTTCAGTCTATTGACCTTGAGCAGAGAGAGCGTCAAGGCCTGAGCTTATTGCTAAATGAAACATTGAAGCCCGAAGGAGGGATGAGAGAGAGACAGGAGGAAAGAAAAGCGAGAGAGAGAATGAGGTGATGGCATTGACAAAAGACACAGTGACAGAAGCATGAGAACGGGGATAAAATCATATTCCCACACACACACACACACACACACGCATGCAGACACACACACCTCCAAGATGGATTTTGCCATCCCACCGTGCCTCATTCTCTGCTGCGGCAATGTCAATCAGAATGAAAATGAAAATCTTTGCGACTCAAATTGGATTTGCACTGATGAAGGTCATTTCATTGGGCAAGAAGAGCAGTCTAATTCACGAAATGAGGATTGATTCTGATTGTTCTGCAGCTCATTTCTTCTTCTTTAGTCTCTTATCTTCCTGCACCACAGCCACCCTGCCTGATGATACCTACTGTATTTCCCAGGGTACCCAAATAGTCTTTGGCATCCAGACATAGAGAAATGTTGTCTAACTAATCCCTCAGGGCTCACAAATGGAGTGTCTGGCATCACATGCAGAGTTATTTGGCCTTACAAATAGCAAAATGTGTCTCTGGGTATAGTTTATTTATTCTGGCTTCCATTACTTAAAGGTTACCTGCCAGCAGCACAGGCAGCTGCTTGTTGAGGAAGGACACTGTGGTCGAAATCGGTCCTGTCTGCACTGGAGTAGTATTACCTGGGCAAGGACCAACTACACGTGGATTTAAAACAGGCAAGCAGCTAGGGTGCAAACAGTTATTATTTTTAATCTCAACTACTGTTTCAATTAAGTGATTCATGTTTGAGTCTACAAAATTCACACAAGAGTTCCCAAAATCCCAAAGTTACAAAATCAAACAACTTATTTGATCTGACTAAGGGGGCGATCACACCGAGATGAAACACTAGAAGCACGATGCCAGTAAAACAACTGTTTTCCTATGATACGGCGCGTCTGACCGGCGTTCAAGCGTCTTTTTAGACGGGCGTTTTTCCGGCGTCTTTTTGACGCACGTTTTTAGACGTGCATAAACGCTGTAAAGTTAAAATATTTTCAACTTTTTGAGCGTTAGACGCCAGTAGCACTATTCAAATCAAATCCTCCTTCCTGTTTTGTTGTGGCAGTTACGGCAGTTTGGTCAGTTACGGCACAACACAATGCAATCCGAAGACGAGAAATTTATCCTGACAATATTTGATTTTGAAGAATTATACAACACACGCACACCTCAGTACTAGTTTCATGTAAGCTACTGTCTCTACTGTCTTTGAGGGAAACACTAGATTCATAAGGAGATGACAGGAGGTGTGTGTGTGTCGCCTGGTTGCGCACGCACTCCCGCTCCACAGGCGCTCCTTGCTGTGTTTTTTTTTTTGGTCTAGCGCGAATTGAATAAGCGCTTCCAGCGTTTCAAGCATCTTTGAAGCGTCCGCGTTTCTAGCGTCTCATTTCTGTGTGATCGCCCCCTAACAGTCCAAAACCCCCCAAATATTCAATTATCACTTGTGTAAAACAAAATAAAGCAGCAAATCGTCACATTTGAAAGACTGGAACCCACAGATAGTTTGAATTTTGCTAGACATGTTTATCATTTTCTGTAAATCTGCAAATTGTTTAAGCATTTAAAACGGACTGAATTTGCAAATGCTGTTGATGTTTCTACTACAGCTAGCTGAGCTGAGTTTCTGGAACTTTCAGCTGCATCTTATGGTCTTCCAAGACAGATGATTTTAAATCAGACATGATGAAAGAGCAGTGCTTCAGGACAATTGCCAAAATCTTGTGACCACATTCACTCAAAAACCAAACCATTTGCTGTCACCATCACACCAGACATCAGCTGATGCCACATGCATGGGATCTGATGTTCATAGCTGTTGTCGCCCAAAAGATGCAGACTATGATCACCTACTGTAGATCACATCCATTCTAAAGTGAAGAAATCTGAAACTGATTGTGTCCACACTAATTTTTTTAGGTAACTTTTTATTTGCCAGCTCAGTGGCAAAAGGTCAGAAAGGACAGGAAAATTATGCATTTTCTGATGGACCATCTTAGTGTAGACAAAGTCAAATGATATGGACACTGTTAAGCCCCAAACTGCACCCCTGTCATTGACTGTCCTGGGCAGCACGCAGGTGTAATAGATGATGTGTGAATGGATGTGGAAACAGTGCTGACAAAGCATGTACACTCACAAAACCCCTCTGTGAAGAGCGTGGCACTAACACATTGAGTTGAAGAGTTTCAACTCACACTGAGGCCCCTTTGTCTCAGATTTATGTACTCATGGCACAGTAAGATAACTGTGAGAAAAAATCATCTAGCAAATATCAAATATGTCAAAAATAACTGCACTCACTCAAAGGGTTCACTGGGGTCATCCTTCTGGAGCTCTGAGGGGATGGGTATCCGTTTGTAGTACATTTCCCAGTCAAACGCCCCTCGCATGGCGTCCCCTGCTTGTGTCTCGTAGCCGAAGTTATCGTGGTCGATGACGTCGATCATCGGACACACGATGGTTTTCCTGTTCTGCGCGATGCGGTCTGAGAGACACAGAGGGAGGCAGAGTGGTTGGTGGATTAATGACAACAGGTTGTGCAGAGAGGTTTTTCCAAAGCTTTTCGGCTTTAAAACATCTACTCGCAACTTGTCCTCACAGGTTGCAGATGTTTGGGAGCCGGGAGCAGCCCAACCAAAGCAGGATGTTCCCTTCTCAGAATCTTTCATTTTGAGAGTTTTTAGTTCTGGAGAGGTAAAAGTCTCCAGTGTGTCAAAGAATATCAAAGATTAGAGAAAAGTTAGAACAAAGTATTTTTGTGAAGCAGAAATGTTTTTCCCTCTACAAATCCTTTAAATAAACTCACTTCAGACAGCCTCAGATTTACTTCAAGGGTCCTGAACTCCAGGTTGGAAACCACTGAGTGTTTATTTGCTTGGTTGATACACGTATCAACCAAGCAAATAAAACACTCAGTCAGCTGTGATGGGTGCCCATATCTTGTCTCTACTCAGTTCCACCCAGGCTGCACCGTGTTACCTAAATTGGGATTAATTGGCTTCAATAACAGACAGTAATGCTGGTGATACTTTAATTAATTGATGAATGATATGATGTATGGAGAATGATCTGGGAGATAGCCATGTAGTAAGTAACTGGGTGCTGCTTGGCATGAGTGATGCTTGCCAACTGCATTTTCCTACCACCCCCTCCAAAATGTGTGTTACTGTATGTTGTCAATGTGATGTTTATGTTTTCAGTTTTGTAACTGTCTGCAAAACATATAACTTCAGAAAGCTGATGTAACAGACAGCAGGTCAAGGTTTCTCTACAGTCTAAACACTGCAGAAAAGTAGCCGGCAGTGCATTAAAGACTCCTGATGTGTGAGGTGTTTGCTTTCTTGTAGTCTACTGTTGAAAACAACTGGTAGTGTACTTAGTTTGTCTTAAGCTAACGTTAGCTCACTTTCGTCCCCGCAGGCAAGCTGCAGGGCTCAATGATTGACAGCAGATTACCTCCTAGAACTTTAAAACTTCCCCCTAAAGAAACAAAACCAAACAAAAAATGGCCGTTCTTCACATGTTTAAGAGCTTCACATGGAACCAACATGGAACCTGTACCATTCTGGTTCCAGCAGGGGTCGCGTTAACCGGATATTCTCGGTCATTGACCGTTTTTTTTTTACAACAATGACCGGAAAATCTGAAGGCCGTTGGTCATTTTGACCGGTTGCAATTACCACCCCTGCCCACTTGGCGGCGGAGTGCACAGTCAGTGGTTTAAGTGGCTGCTGTTTTCACACTGCAGCGTAAGGTCATTCATCTGCTTCATGTAGCGTTGTTGACATAACGCCCTGGACACACCGGACGCGGAACCGAAGCACGGCGCCCAGCAGCGGAGGCAGTTTTCAGTCAGCGCCCATGTTAACCTATCTGACTGTCCACACAGGCCGCTGAGCAGAGCGGCGCGCCTGTGGAGGCAGCGCTTCAGTTCGGCGTCTTGTCTCTTTTTCTTGTGAGCCGCGAGCGCTTCTGTCAAGCTGGATCGAGCAGATCGTACCAAACAGGAAGTCGGACACAGAAAAGACGAGAGAATCCGGCCAATTTTCAAAATAAAATAACAACAGCATGCACTGAGGAACGTGAGGAGAAAATACCGTGTTTATAATTTAAAATAACACAACAGTGCATAACCGAACACATTTTTCAATACCCTAATCACTTCATTACAATTTTAATTTTGTGTCACCGAGCCTACAGGCATAACTACATAACGCCCTGGACACACCGGATGCGTTAGTGACACGTTAGTGCCATCCGGTGTGTCCAGGGCGAAGGCTAATGGCACGGGTGTGTGGATGTCTGTTCATCTTTTCGTTCATGTCCTTATTAATGCACACTTTCTAACTTGCTTGTTGGATTTATTAAAAACGAACGAATGAAAACTAAATGTCTTTGAATATCTTTATTATCATTTAAAAACGAAAATTAAAATGACCGGTAAAAATAGATTATGACCGGATTTTTATGACCATGTCGGTCAAAATGACCGGCGATGAAAAATTCTAGCGCAACGTCTGGGTTCCAGTATTTAATTTTGAACTATTGAGAGCATTCTGACCAAAAATAAATTGGTTCAGAACCCAAAAAGTTGGTTCTCACCTGGAACCAAAAAACAGCAGATTTTCCTTGACCTGAAATGTGAACAATGACGACACCTGTGGGCGTGTCATATTCTATGGGTTGGAAAGAGAGGATGGAGAAGGCAATGAACTGAGAAACTGTAAGAAAAAAAGCTTGCACTGGTCTCATTAATGGTTGATCCAAGCTTGTTTTTAGGGTAAAACAAATATCTGTAATAACAGGACAAGAGTTTTAAGGTATTCAGAGTAATCCCTGACTTTGCTTCTACTGTTTATTTCCATGGTGCAACACAGTCCATTGACTACACATCCTTTATTGCAATGGTTACCCTCACAACTGGTGGAGACGCAGGCTGGTTCGCTAGATAGCACAGAGGTTCAAATAATCCTGAGCAGAACTGGTTCAAGAACCAGAGCTAATATGGTGGAAATGGTGGTATGAGGTTATGACACAGGTATAGGGTTAAGGTTACAATGCATGTAATACTGATGACTTGGATGGGTTTGTGTTCCTCACCCAGCAGTGGGGGCAGCCAGTTGACGTTGGCCTCGCAGTGGGAGTCCAGGAAGGTGATGACTTCTCCTTTAGCAGCATCGGCTCCAAGCAGACGAGTCCTGATCAGCCCCTCCCTCCTCTTGGTCCTCAGGATGCGAACCTTCGGCAACCGCATCATGTACTCCTCCAGCGCCACCTTTAGGTGCTCTGCAGAGATGGAGACATACACAGCAGTAATCAGAACAGTGAATGCATCAGAGTAATATAAAACAGTATTGGTGGCACCAAAAAAGCACAATAGGTTCAAACCCTGTGCTGACATGAAAGAACGCTGCTTCAGAAAGTTGTCCACAAATGGCAAAACCTCACTACTGCGCTCTCTCAGAAAAAAAAGATCAAACGAAAACTAAACCATTTGCAGTCACCATCAAACAAGACATCTGCCTATGCCACATGCTCCAGACCGAAATGTCTCCCTGTAGGCCTACATCACACTCTCACCCATACTGGGGAAAAAAATCACTTACTTTTCTGCACTCACAGACTTTTTTTTTATAACTTCACTGTAGTCATTAGACAGAATGTTACCCTAAAGAGAAAGAATCCAACTGTGAGGAATGAAATTAAATCAGTCCCTCCTAACGTGCGGTCATAAAGCCTCTTGGCATAAGACAGTGTTCCTTCTCAAACTGCAGTGATGCTCATGAACATTTCACCAGACAGAATCCATAATGCCCTATGAGGGAATTACAGATACTACACGCCCCCCCAATAATCAGTTTATTGTTAGTGAGTAGATCACACAGTGCAAGAGTTTTAAATAGTTTATTTCAGACTTGTTGGTGCAACAAATGAGTCACTTTGGACTATTTTTAAGTCTTTCTCAAGCTGCAAGAACACAATAAATATCAACAGAGAGGAAGCTGTTGACAAAATGGGCAGCTTCTTCTGCTAAAACTGCAAATATACTGGAAGGTGAAAACATACAAAGATACACAAAGAAAAGTCAAACAAAAAAAAAAAAGAAAGAAAGAATGCATTCATCAATCAAAGAGAAGGCTATAGATACATGTTTTGCTCCGGTCTTTTCACAGAGCTGCCTTCGACAGAAATCAATCTTGCCCTAAATGGAGCCTGTAAATCTTTCTGCTCAAACGTCAAGTCAGTTCTGACAGGTCAATAAAATAAAATTGGAGCCAGGCTCAAGGCCATGTTTCATTTACTGTCTGTCTACTGTCACTGTGTTTCCAAAGCTGAGATACCATCAACCATCACAGAGAAGCACCATGAAACAGATCATCAACCCTGACGACTAAAGCGCCACTTTAACTTTTTAGGAGTAAATCATCACTGCGATAAGGCCAGGATTCGAAGAGCCAATAAAAAACATTATGGTTTGGAGAAAGGTCGGCAAAACTCCAATTCTATCAGTCTTATCATCTATCGCTCCTTCACACCTGTGAAGGCATCTGTCTAATGCCATCCATCATGAGTCTCCGTTCGAGTTCTCAACATGTTGCTGAACTTCATTTGCATTTAATGCCATCTTGATTTGAGGAAGTCTTGATAAAATACCATATGGTGCAAACCAACTGGCCAAGAATGTCTCCAGATATCATGTTGCTCACCTTGACTGCACCCACAACAGATGCATGTGAAAATTAGACACCCAAAATGTGAAGCTGAAACGCTCCTTCGCCACAGAGACATGACTAAGCAGTGTTTTTTTTTTTTATTGCTCTTTCTCCTGGAACACAGACTGTTTAATTTTAACCAAAGCTGTCGTCGACAGCAAGTCTCCAAGCTCCCGCTCCATCACACATGCAAACAAGAATGAGTCCAACTGTCACTGCTGGTGCGATGATGTTTTTTCTTTTTTTTTTTTTTTCCCAATATCCATTTTCTACATCATTACCACACACATCAAATTGTAAGGTCGGCACTATTTTATATTTGTATCATCAACAATAGCGCTAAATAGACAACAGCCAGTGTTGGATAGAAACGATTGAAAAGGACATTAGAGAATCATAAGTGACATGTTCAAGTGTATTCCCTTCAGCTCATCAACAGCATAGCAATTTGGCTCCTTCTGGACAACACTGTATGAAAACATATGCTTTATCGCCCCTGTGGCTACACAGATTTATTTAGGGCTGGGTACTGAATTTCAGTAAATGTGTCCATTGGAAACTGTAAAGTATCAAAGGCTGGCATCCAAGCATCAACTTCCAGGGCTAAAACAAAATTAAGCCAAATCAGGAGTGCCAAAAACTGCACTTTCTTTTGGCCACTTGAGGCTGGCTCCATAAGCCAATCCCCATAGACTCCAATGCTAAAATGCCCAACTTTACAGCAGAAATAAACATGTTTACAGCCTGGCACAAGAAATGGTTTAGGTCTCTTTAGCTACTTTCCCCATTCATGACAGCTGTGCGAGGATACATTTTCATAAAGTTATTAAAAGGAACTGTATGTAAGAAATCTAAAGCAAATAGTCGTAAAATCCTCCTAATATGTCACAGAGACTAAGGAATAATGTTCATATAACATACTGATCTCACTGACAACAATAGTACAGCCAGAATATTCGCATTTAAAAATGTTTTTACAGTCCGCAAATCATGTTTATGTTTTGAATTTGTGTTTTGGCCTGTTGCGCCACCCACCGCCGTCTACCAGTCACGCAGTCAGTAGAGTCTCAGCATCAGTTACAGTTACGACTGAGCTACAATGGCTGACGGTGCGACTAAACCCAAATGATCTCGTTATGATTCCCAAAAACGCCAAGACAAAACTCGAGGCAAAGCGAGGGTCTGTATAGGAGATGCTTTTGAACGGTGGAGACGGTTGAAAGCGGAGAAGAATTTGAAATCGGATGTCGAAGTGGCTACTCTTCTCCTCGACAGGTAAGCTTTAGCCAAAGTTGGCTAACTAGCATCATAGCTAGACTGGGATTGACATTTCGAATACTTTCAACTGTTATTCATTTTCGATCATACATTGTATCCCATGTGCAGGTGGGTCATCGACCCGACTGATTTTTTTGAGAAACAAACGTGAGCAGCACGTCAAGCAGCATTAGCAGTGTCCTGGTACATAGCATTAGCAGCCGGCTCCTCCTCCGCTGTATCCCGGCAGCAGCTTTAGCAGCAGAGAAGCCAGACTTGCTCGAACGGTCCGCTGGAAAACCGAAGATCAAGGACACGCCGACGCGGCCCTGCCACGGCAGCCGTCCCTGAGCAAACAAACCAGTCTCCAGCGTGCCGCTGTCCAGCATGGTGGCTTTAAGTGACAAGCTGTCTGCACATAGTGTCCTGGCTCTAAAAAAACAAGATGGCGACGGCTGAAAAGCCTACCTTGAGTCCACAAACCAGTGAGTGAAGTCATGGTAGCTATATCCATTGTTTTATATGGTCTATGCTGGCATTGAATGTCTTGTCAGATTCTTTGATTACACAGTTCAGATCGGTGCAAGTATTGGAATGTTTCAAGTGATACCCAGCCCTGCGCAGTGGTGGTTTTACTCTTCCCACCGTGCTTGTTCATAGCAAATAGATAAAATAATGTCAATCTTATTCTTTAATTCAATGGGGTTACCAACTTAAAAATAGCTCCTCAAAGTCACATAAGACACGCTGTTTCTGACTCCTGAATTATGTCAGTCGAATCGGATTTCACTGTCCAATAAGAATATGGGAATATTTATTTCTTTTTTCATACAGTCTTTGAATGGGGTGCAGCGGAACGATTACTGTGACAGTGACATTCACGAAATACAGTTATCTCTGACTTTCAGGACGCAGCCCAATGCAAGTCAGCCTGGCAGTGGTAGTACTGTCCAATCCTGTGTGATGAATCCTCAACTGTGCCTTTAAATGCTGACGTGACACTCTAGAGATGATGTCATGCATGAACTCTGTCCAGCACACACACACGCACACGTGCACACACTTGAATAAGCAATCAATTCAGATACAAAATGATTTACATTTTAGCTTTTCTGAATCTGTCTCTAAACTTCAGGCCGGGAACAGTGTTGTGTGGTCCAACAAAAAGAGCCATTATTTGCAGAATACAGGCCAGACATTAATAAAATATTACCTCTGTCAGTGTTCCCCATTGATAGCAGGTCTTACAAATGGGCCACTGTCACTGAGGAACCCCCCTCCAACAAAACCACTAATTGGATTCTGAATATCAGAGGAGAGGATGGAGGAAAGGCAGCAGTCCTTTCAAACCTTCACAGGATAAACCGAAGCTGTTAAAATGACAGACAGAACGTCTTTATCTCTGCACTCTGTTGTTGCCTTCCTGCTCAATTCTTGCTTTCCTTTTTGTCCCTCCTTTGTTCCTTCTCTTCATCTTCTTTCCGTCACTCAGCTCGTCCTTCTGTTTTGATGCTGCTTGGCAGCAGCTGCCTCTCGGGGAAGCAGTCCTGATTCCGACGGACAGCTGAGACACTGAAGACAGCAGGACAAGCCAAAACCAACAAACCTGAAGCCAGCAGGTCCTCAGATCTGTCTCTCCCACTCTATTCCTCCATCCTTATTTTCCTTCTCCTGTGATTTATTTTTTAATGAGCCTGAGTAAATGACAGCCCATCTCTTTGAGTCAAACAGCATCAAAACCCACCATTACTTCCTCGGACAAGACAGTCCAAACCCGAGTGTTTGGGCAAGACCAGATCTGACTAGACATTATTAAAGCAGAGAAAACCAAATTAGGACAGGGCAGTAATCAAGACCAGAGTGAGGAGTGCTGTCTATCAAGCTGTCACACAGGCCCCTGCTTGTTAATCCTGAAAGACCCATTTGGGATGCAGTCTGCCTGAGGTGGTCTGGCTCAAATGAACCTGTTTAAACCTGTGTTAAAGTTACTGCCAGAGGCTGTGCCTTAAAGCCAGGTGAATGATTATTCATCAAAGTGATAATCAAGCCTGCTAGTGACTTGAACATCGAGTGCAGTACGAACATGTAACAACAGTGATGCATTTCAACTAAAACAATTACAATAAGGGTGCTGATTTTGAGCTTTGATTTATATCTGCATCACATGGACATTGTAGAAACTGTGGCCCTTTAAACTACAGTCCCAAAATTTTAGAGGCAAGAAAATAATTAATTATATTATATTGTTATTTAAGCAATATATAAAAGACACTTTAACATAACTGTATGCCAATATAAGAACGTTTTCAATCTTCC